GACCTTCTGCCCTCTGGTGGTGACGTGTGACGGTGTGTGGGGACACGATGCCAACGTGTTCATCGCCCACATGGCTCATGCGCTGTTGGAGAAGGAGGGGTGGAAGGGTCGGGGGTTCAGTCATGTGTCTGGATGGATTCGCTCTCGCTTGTCTATCGCCCTCGCGCGTGCGACTAGCTTCTGTCTGCGTGGGGGAGGGAGGGGAGGGTTTGCGGGACTGGGGTGTGCTGATGGGGCGGGGATTGATCCCTCCTCCCCTTGAGCCTGTTTGAGTCTGCGTGCTGATGGGACTGTATTTGTATGAGTATCACGGACACACAGACGAGTGTTACGGTTAATGACAGTTTCCACTTCATTGGAATGACCGACCACATTTGATTGACAAACGAAACGGCAATCTGATTTCCGATCCTGGCAGTTTTGTATGGCTTTGGCATCACCATCTAACGAGTGTCGAAGGAAGATGTCATCTCCCATCGAGATCAAAGTGTGTGACCGCAATGGCGGCGCAGAAGTCACCATGAAGGTCCGGCCCACGTGGCAGGTAGGTGAGATGAACTGGCTGATCTGCCTGTAGATGGCATCTTGTGTTTGCTCCTTCGTTGGTTCCCCTGCAGGAAGAGGACTTTGTCAAGTACGTCAAGGACATCTTCGGCATCAAGGATGATTTCCACGTGCAGGACAGCAGAGGTAGGCATTGACAGACAGACAGACAGACAGCACACCAGCCGCAAGTTAAAACGTAGACCGTCTGTGGTTCTCGTTCTCATTCAGGTGTGTGGATCCCTATGGGTTGCTTCAAGGACGGCGAGACCTACTTCATCGGGCGCACTGCCAGCGCTTCGGCTGCAGCTGATGCCGTGGCTGCGTCGGCTGGGTCGAGCGGCAGCGGCAGCGGCGGCCGCAAGCGAGAGCGGGAGGCTGAGAAGAAAGAGGGCGGGATGCGGGCGGGCCGCAGCACCCGGATCAAGGTGACCAAACCTGAGGGGGCTGAGCGCCCCAGAGGCGACCTGTGGGACGACAACCAACAGGTGGGTGGGTGGGTGAGCCATTCCTGCCCTTCCTTCATATGAGCCTTCTCTCTCCCCTTCCCCAGGCTCCTGTGTCTGCCAGCGGTGCTGGCGGTGGCGACGAGAGCACGGTCGAGGCCAACGGCCCACCCCGACAGCCCGACGAGGTCATGACCAAGTCGGAGGCTGACACCTTCGCCCGCAAGCTCATTGCCGACAAGAAGCAGCAGTTCTCCACCTTCGCAGGCGTGACCTTTGCCGGCGTCAAGCACGGTGCCAACAAGCCGCACTTCGTGCTGGACCTCAACAAGAAGAAGACGCAGGACGGGTCGCGATGCGGAGGCAAGGTGGACGTCCCCGAGCTCACCCAAAAGGCCATACGAGATGGTCAGCAAACAAGAGACTGACGAGGGAGGGAGGGAAGGAGGGAAAAGGGGACGCATGGACTGGCCTCATGTGTTTGTGTTGTGTGTCGATCGATGGCTGCAGCGTTTCGCACGGCGTGTCTGCAACGTCTGTATTGCCTCAAGCCCGAGGAGCGTGAGGAGGGCCTGCCGCCCTCCATGCAGGAAGGCGGCGACGAGGCCGCACCTGCACCGGCGGCTGGTGCCGCTGCAGCAGCAGCAGCTGCTGCTGCTGCTGCAGGGGGAGGGGCGGCCGGTGAGGTGATTGCTGAGCCCGCCGAGTCCGCTGCACCACCTGCTGCCGCAGATGCTGCTGCTGCGGCTCCTGCGGTCGAAATGTCAGTCGACGGTGCGTACGTAGATAGACACACTCATCCATCCATCCATCCATCCAACCATCGATCCATTCCAGCGACCCCTTGTGTCTGTCTGTGTCTGTGTGTCTTTGTGTGCAGCTTGCCGACAGCAGGGGGCTGAGGAGGAGAAGACACAGGGAAATTAGTCAGGGAAATTAGTCAAATACGGGCAGGAGGACCGGTGTGGTGTGGTGTGGGGGCAGGCAAGTGGCAGGTAGCGATAGGTCGGCCGACGACAGAGCGATGGAGAGAGAGAGAGAGAGAGAGAGAGAGTCGAATGAGCTAGTGTGGGGGTATAGGGTGGGAGGGGAGAGGAGCGGCACACGCCTCAGCGGCTGTGCCTGCTGGGTGTGGTGTGTTATCTCGTACCCACATGAGCACGTTGGCCGCTGATGTCTTTCTATCTAGTGCGTCTTTGTACGTGGCGTCCGGTGGTTTCTTTTCTGTGCCCCTGATCATGCGGGGCGCGCGTGTTGTCTCATACGGTGGAATACATCGCCCTGCTGACACAGGGGTGAGCACATGCCTGAAAGCATGTGTTTGCAGCCGTGTCAGGGGGGGGGCGCATCCACTCGTACGAGTCACTCAAAGGGACACACTCACACACAAAGGAGCGAAAGAGAGAGAGAGGTGGGTCTTCTTCCCGGCGGCGCCGCCGGGTGTCGTGGACGCGTCTGTAAGTATGTTTGTATGTTTGTGTTTGTGCGTGAAGTGAAAGGTCGTGTGATGTGCCTCCATCTACGTTGGACTCAACGTCCGTCAGTGGATTGCAATGCAGCCCTCGTAAGTCTGATATCACTCACTGTTGCTATCAGTCAAGTGTAACACGCCTTCAGTGAGCTCAGTGTGTGTCGTTGGCTCCTGATGGGTACCCGAGCGGGGGTGAGAGTCATTCCCATGTCGTCCTGTCCTGTTTGTGAGGGACGACGACGAGAATCACCCACACCGCCTCCATCCAACACACAACACACACTGACCCATCCACCCACCCACCCACTCTCATGCATATCGCACGCACCGAGCACCGGACCGGGTCGTCATCCGTCTGCCAGTGCAGTGCTTGCCGGTGGGTGGCCGTGGTCTGTCTGTCTGTCTACAAGAATGCCTCCTCTATCTCATGGCACACGATGCAGACGACCCACTCCCTCGGCCGCTTGGCCTGCCGGTCCTCACACACCTCCACGTCCATCGCCGCGCCGTGATCCTCCTTTCTCTCGGCTGCCGCGGGTGCCGGGGGCGCCTCGACGCGCCGTCTCTTGTGGGCCGGGCCGACGCTGCACTCTCGATGCACGACTGAACACACAAGGGCAAAAGGTGATGTCTGTCTGTCTGTCTGTGGCCTCTGGCGCTGACTGGCTGACCTTTGTGGCAGATGGTACACGTCGGCACAGGCGTCTCTTCCTCTGGCTTGCCCTCAGCTGCTGGCTCCGGCGTCGGCGGCGGCTTGCCGCACACGCCGCAGAGATCCCTCGTCTCTGCTGAAGAAGCAGCAGCGGCAGCAGCAGCGGCGGCGGCGGTGGAACCCTGTTGCTGCTGCTGCTGTGGTGGTGGTGGTGGCTTGGGGCCCTCCTTGCAGACGGTGCACTGCCGATGGAGCAGAGAGGCAGCACTAGTGTCCTGGAGGGCACACAGACCAAGACAGCTCACATGCCCGCCGGTGTGGGGTGGATTCCTCTGTGGTTGGTCCGCACCTTTGCCTCCTCTATTGCGAGGTCCTTGGCGCAGGTCGAGCACTTGCCGCACGTGGCGCACATCCACTGGTGGCCATCGGGCACCTGAATATTCGACAGACAGACAGACAGACAAGCACCCAGACAGACAGACAGACAGACACGCCGCTTAATGGGAACACCGCCCCTCTCTTGGTGAATCATGGCCCACCCACCTTGTCTAGTGGCGGTGTGAGGCACCCAATGTGGAAGGCCCGGTCACACACGGCGCACCTCACAAGGGATGCGCTGTCCTGCCGCCTCCCACACACACTGCACCTCTGACACACATACACACACACACACACACAGGGAGAGAAGAAGGTCAATGCACAGAGGCGGGATGCTCATCCCTCTGTGTCTGTCTGTGTGGTGTTGCCGACGGACCGACCTTGCAGTCAGGGCATCTCCAGGGGAACATGGTGACCAGCAGCCACACCAACGGAGGGTCACAGCACCTGCAGGCATTGCATTTATTGTCGATGCGCGTCAATTGCAACAACACACAACACACAACACACACGCACCACGTAGGAATGAGTGTCATCGATGCGTCCCCTCCTCCCACGCAGCCCCCATGCACACGTGCGCATCTCTTCAGTTGTGTCTGTCTGTCTGGTCCCTCACACACTTGGCGTGGATTGTTGTCCTGCATCCTCCACAGATGAGCATGTCATCGATGTTGCGGAACCGCTCGCGGCAGTTGTCCCGCCGACACACCATGGGCACGGTGTCGGGAGGCGCGTCGGGCCGCGCCTCAAACCCCAGACAGTACTTGCAGAAACCAGTGCCCTTGTGGCTGCCTGAACACCCACACCCACAACACGGACACACATATATATTCCCAGCCGTCGCACACGCAGACAGCACGCCAGACCCCCTTCCCTCACCGTGTTCATCGCACAAGAAGCATGTGGGGACGACGGATGCGACCACCCTGGCCCTGTCGTCGAGGTACCCCTTCCTCTCCCTCTTCAACCACCGACTCATCGCCATCGCGTAGTCCTTGACACTCCTCGCCGACAGCACCACGTTGCTCATCCCGTCATCGGCACACTTGTCGGGCGGCAACAGAGATGACACACTGACGGCAGGCGGCAGACACTCCAGATGAGCTGGCAGCCAGGCCCTCTCCTCCATCTTGCCATCGACAGCCACCCTCCGCGACACAGCCAAGACGCCCGGCTGCGTATGCTTGGGCTGTCCGACAGGAGGCGAAGGGCGGCGTGTGGCCGACTCTCTCACTCCGCGCGTGTCAGGTGTGAAGGGCAGGGGAGGAGAGGGAGCGAAGGGGCAGTTGCACATCGGCTCGCCCGTCACGGAACAGTTCGGATGGAACGGAGGGGGCGGTGGCGGCAATCCTGTGCTCATCGTGGTGAAGATGTGGCCGGATTGGTGGGGGAGGGCAGATTTGGACTGCGAGCTTAATGTCATGCTAGGATATTACGTGAAACTGCTCGTCGACAGGGAAGAAACACGCTCCTTTGCGAAGATGGGCAGTTCTCTGACGTCTATATCGGATAAGCAGCTTGCCGATGCCATGGAGAAGACTCCTGATGTTATCCGGAAGCTCTGGCCGGATGAGAAGGAGCATCGACAGGCAAACCATACACAGCACACATTGTCAACAAGACAAGACAACACACACACGCACGGCATCTCTCTGTGTGTGTCCTAAAGATGCTGGAAGCGCTCGAGACAGACCGCTTCACCAAGGTCGCCGCTGCCGTGTGGCTTCTGGACACGGAGGAGGAGGAACTCAAGAAGCAGCTCCCGAAGTTGCTGCTGAAAAGTGAGCGAACGCACACTCACAGCGTGGGAGGACACACGTATGCAGACGCCGTGCTCTGTCGTCTGTTTAGATGCTGCTCCGGAATCCGCCGTGCCTCCGCCTTCACACGACAGGGACGGACCCGCCAACGACACGGTGATGACCAAGAAACGAAAGAAGGAAGGAAGGATGACCGACCAGTGACTGACTGACATGGGACGTGCAGACAGACGATGTTGGCTGACCGACATACATCGCACTGGGGGAGTTATGTCGTTTGCTTGTGAGTGGTGTGCATAACAGTGCTGATTGCCTGTGGGCAGCTCGTCCATTCAATTATGTGGTGGTATCTCTCTTGAGTGGCCTTTTTCGCTGCTGTGTGTGGACACCTTGGACAGACAGTTTGTGAGGCCTCAAGTAAGGCAGCGCATGATCCAACACTGCGTGCACTGCACTGCTCCGTCTGAGTGACTCTCTCAGCGCTTTATGCGTGTGGCTGGCTGCCTGGCTGCCTGCCTGCCTGGCTGGCTGGCTGGCTGGCTGTGACCATGTGTGGAGGGAGTATGCATGGAGCGTGTCTGTCTGTCCGTCTGCCTGGATGAGAATTATCGTGTCGTCTTTGAGAGTTCAATCCGCGTTCTCACTGATCGGAAGCGATACTGTGAAGTTCGCCCTGTCGTGGTGGGTAGGTAGGTGAATTAGCCCTTGCTGTCGTGTTGTATGCGTGTGTGTGTGTGCGTGAGTGCGTGTGTGTGTGTGTGTGTTAGTGTTGGATTGAGCCTTCTGTCTCTCGTGGTTGACGAACGTGATGGGACACCGGGGGCAGGGGAGGGGGGGAGGGTCGGTGAGTAGGCAGCCAGCGAGATGGATGGATGGATGGACTCATTATGGTCTGTCAGCGATTTCTGACATACTTACCGCTGGTATACTTAACGGATTGATTGATAGATCATCGGTATACTTAGCACACCGAACATGACTGCTTTCCCAGTGCCGTAATGCACCGAATGATCTTGGTCGGTCGGCACGCACTCCTGAATTCATCACTCTCTTATCCACACACATTCACCCACTCACTCACTCACGCCACCCACCCACCGCACAAAATACACACACATTCACTTCACTGTACTATCGACATCTGTCTGTCTGTCTGTCTGTCTGCATTGAGTGCACTGGGCACTCGCTGCGCACATGGACGTACGAAGACCGCTATCTGTCAGATCTGTCAATCAATCATTGTGCACCGCTGATGCACAACACGATACACTCAACACAATACAAACACATAAAACATCAGGAAGGAGGGAAGAAAGGAAAGAACCCCCCCCCCTCATCCGCCCACCCAGCCCTTCATTAATCCCTCTCTGGGCGTGTGTGTACAAAACTGTCTCCACCAGCCAGCCAGCCAGCCAACCAGACGCCTCATTGAGCGTCCTCACTCACACTCTCTCTCAAAGAACAGCGACGTGACTGATGTATGCAATAATGAATGTACGCAAGGCACACACAGTGGGCACGCACGAGCACACTCAGGTCAATCTGATTCGGTATCAACAAACACCGGAAAAACGATCGACTATGTCATACGTCAGTACGCGCACACACACACACACACACACACATGGATCATCCATAGGATCTATCTATCTCCGATTGCTACTCGTGTCTCTGTCTCTCTCCCTCTCGTCTGTCTGTGTCTGTGTCTCTCCTCTCCCCGTCTGTCCGCCGCCTGCGGCAGTGCTCGCGAGTCCTCCGATGCCGGCTTCTCCTCACCCTCTCCCTCTCATCCCGCGGCCGATCCCGCGACCGATCCCTCCCCCTCTCCCTCTCCCTCTCTCTATCTCTATCTTTGTGGCGTGACGTACTCGGGGTCTGTGCCCTCTCAGCGCTGCTGGCGTGCTCTCGACCCACGCGAAGCGGACGTCGGGGAGGGACGGAGAGGGACGGCGGGAAGGAGACGGCCTCGACGTGATGCTCACGCCCCTCACGCCCGCGGTCGTGTCGCCTCCGTCGGTGGCTGTGGCGGTGGAGTGCTTCGCGCCCTTCGGGTCGTGACATTTCACGACCCTCTGGCTGAGAGGCTGGTTGCGCATCTGGTGCTGCGCGCCGCCCAGAATGACGCTGACGCCTTTCCGGCCGACGCAATTCGGACTTGTCGTTGCTCGCCGTGGGTGTGGTGGCAGCCGCCCCTGTCTGCACTCTGCCGTCAGTGCTGCTGCGATGCCGGCTGCTGCCGGCCGTCACGGGCGTGAGGCTCCTGAGTCTCCGCCTCTCCTCGACGCTGTTGATGTAGGTGTCGACCGGCTCGTCAAACAGCGCTGTCAGGCCGCCTACAGTGCCCGTGTCGCTCTGTCTGCCCGTGCAGTCCAGCGGCGAGTGGCCGCCTTGCAGGTCTGAAGGCGCCAAGTCGCGAAAGAGCGCCCGCTGCTGCTGCTGCTGCTGCTGATGCTGCTGCCGAGTGGCGCCCTGTGTGGCCTTGGGATCGAGGGATGGCGAGCGGTGTCTGGGGGTGGAGGTGGTCTTCCTGCCGCCGTCGTCGCCATTCTCGCTGCGTGCCCGCGGCTTTGAGAGGTACGACTGAATGGGCTCCTCGAGCATGTCGCTAAAACCGGCAAGGGTCTCGGCCTGGCTGCCAAGGTAAGACGATGACGTTGCCGATGACACCGAGAAGATTGATGGGGGCGAGGGGCGGTGGGGGATTGTGGTGGGTGTTGGCTGCTGGTGGGTGATGTTGGTGAGTGGAGGGGACGGAGGGGAGGGCAGGGACGTGACGGTGTGGGTGGTCGTCTCGTCCTGTTCGTCGGTCTGGTGGGTGTGCTCGCCTTCGTGGCGGCTGCTGGCGGTGGACACCGCCTGGTCCATCTCCACCTGCGTCTCATGCTCCTCCTTGCCTCCCTGCCCACATTCCGACTTTGCCACATCGGCCTGTGTGCCGGTGCTGACGCTGACGCCCTCCAACGCCGGCCTGAGCAGAGGTGAAGGCTTCCGATGGTCGCTCTCGTCGTCTGCCAGCTCGTCCGCCCAGCCGTCGTCACCCTCTGCAGATCCCTCGCCCTCTCCCTCTCTCTGCTCTGTGTTGGGATAGCTCGACCCCTCCTCCCCCTCGCCATCGTCAGGCGACTGTGTCTCATCGGGGAACCGCACCACCAGATCTAGATGCACCTCCACCGGCCGCTTGTCGCTGGCCACAGCCGATGCCGTGGCAGTCGCACCGGGGGTCTGCGGCTTGGCCTTGACCACTGCCGTCGTCACCCCTGCCCTCTTCTTCGCCAGACCTTTCTGGCGCCGCCTCAGGCAGACTTTGACGGCGATGTAGATGGCCAGCCCCAGGCACAGCTGCTGGCTGGTGGCCATGATGAGGCCGCAGAAGAGCAGCAGGAGGGCAAGGGGGCGAAGGGGCGACTTGGTGACCAGGTAGTGCTCGAACTGGGGCACGCAGGCCGCGAGGGCAGTGTTGACGTCGAAGATGGTGTTGCCGATAAATATGGGCGGCGAGGGCTCGCACACCCCGGCGCAGCTGAAAATGCGAAAGAAAGACAGAAAAAAGGGGAAAAGAATCAATCCATATGGGCGGGCGGATGTTTGTCATGTCATGCAGCAGCTGCTACAGCCTACTGGAGTCTCGTTTCCGCGATTTTTGCAAGCGTGAGGAACTGCTGGATCCTCTCCGTCGTCACATTGTAGCCATCAAGCGACCGCCGGTACTGCTGCACAAACGCGTTAGTCGGAATCCGCCCCACACCCTTCCCAAGCTCCTCGCTGAAGGCGCCATACACCATCCCCCGCAGCCGGCCGGCATTCAGCTCGCCCTGTTCGTCACGCACAGGCTCGTCCTTGGTGCAGTTGAGCACGTTGAAGACCTCCTGCGGCACACAGATGCCGAGCAGGTCGTCGTGGGCCTGGTGGTACCAGGTCGTGTAAAGCCACAGGGGCCGGTCGAAGGTGGTGGGTGAGAGGGGTGTGCTGTGGGGGGGTGAGCCGCAGAGCACAGAGGGGGAGGGGGACGTGGCAGGCAGGTGACGATGATCGGATATCTGACACGACACACGCAACATACAGTCATTCCATGATGGCGTGGGTCGGGTCGTGACTGACTGAGAACAATTTCAGTCCGCAGCGGTGTCTGTCTGTCTTGTTGCGTACCAATACGAGCACCGCCAGCGCAGCGGTGCATGTCGCGAGGGCAGAGGGGATCCTAAGCAGCGTCGTCAGAAACAACGTCCAACAGCTCCACCCACTACCGAAGAATGACGTACTTCTCTTCCTCTGTCGCCTGCGCGTCGCCCGCCGCTGCTCCTCATCGGCCGCAGCCGAGTTGCCATCCTCCTCCGCCTCAATCTGACTCGCCTTTGCAAGGGCCGTGGCGCCATTGGCATCAGCCGACTCAGCTGGGGGCTCTTTCCTCTTTGCTGGCCTCTTGGGCGGAGCGGCAAGAGGGCTGTTGTCATCCAAGTAGGCGGCGAAGAGGAGGCTGCCGATGTTGAGGACAGTCATGGTGAGCATGATGCACCCGCTGGCCACGATGAGGGCGTAGGGGAGGGAGAGCAGGGCCAGCACGAGCTCCAGCCAGAGGGGAATCAGCAGCCCAGTGATGAAGACACCCAGCAGAACGGCCATCTCCACCAGGTACCCCAGGACAGTGAAAAAATGAATGATGCGCCGGACGACGGGAAAACAGCGCTCGAGAAACGCCGATGCTTTGGTGGTGGGATCGGCAGCACCACCGCCGGCACCGGCAGCAGCGGCAGCAGCACCGGCAGCCGGCGGTTGGGTTTGACGCTCCTGCCGAGCAGGAGTCGTGCATGACCCTTGATGGTGGTCATCAGGGGCGGTGCGGCGCCCGGAGGTGCTGTCTTGAGGCTCGGCAGGGCTGCCATGCCGCGTGTCTTTCATGATTGTGATGCGTGCCAGCCCCACGACCCGCCAACGGCTGCTGTACAGGTGTAAATTTGTGGTCGAAGGCATTTCCTCATATGAACGTCACACTTGTACGTGGTTGTCCGTGTCCGAGACTCTCAGACATAAATGTATGCAATGGGCATCCAGACAATTAGTGAGGCGAGACTCGTCCATCTGTATGTCTTTCTCTCTCCCTGACGTCACTGCCGTGATCTAATCCCTTGCTGACTACTACTACAGTAACTGTACAGTCTCCCTCCCCCGGAAAAGACGCCAACCCATCACACACACGAAAGCACAAGGCGATCGAAAATCACGTCGGGTGAGGTCCTAGGTACTAAGGTCGAGGAATCCCGAGGGCGTCCGCTGACAGCCACCAACTGGCATAAATGAATGGCATACAGGAGGCTGAGGAATGAATAAGTTGCTCGCGTGGGACCAGCGTCAGGGGGGAGGGAGGACCCACGGGGACCCGATGGGGGACTGTGGAAGGCCTCTAGTCATGCGCCTCATTGCCTCCTCGACAGTGAGACTGTCAGTGCGGCTACCGCTACCCGGCTTGCCTTCGACGATGAACCGTATGGGGTTCTCCAGCGTCCCTTCACCTGCTTGGTTGGTGTGGTTGGACGATCAAGGCAACCAACACACAAGAACACAAACACAGACACACAAACACATGACACTAGCTGCGTATGATGGACGGATGTTTGCCGACATACCTCCTGTGTGTGACGACTCACTCACCTTGGTTGAACACGTCCTTGACAAGAGAATGCGATGTGATTTGATCGGTCCTACGGCCTGATGGATGAGCGGTGTGGCAACGCCGTCCACACAAATCACACACACACACACACACACAGAGAGAGAGAGAGAGAGTGTGTGTGTGTGTGTCTACATGCGCTTTTCCCTTCCTGTCTATCTGCCCCTGACTGACCAGCGAGATAGGTCCTTGTAGGCCTGAGACCCAGCTCCAAGTAGGCACCATCTGCCAGTTTTTATCTGGGATAAGACTGCTGCGCTCCCTTCTCGAACTGCTCGATTGTCGTGGATGCGGTCACCCGGACCGAGAAGGGCATGTTGCTGCGGCGTTTCCCGTCCGCGCCAAATACCTCGCAGAGCACGGCGGAGGAGAATGGCATCCCAGAGCGGAAAGCTGCGAGCGGAGGTGGCCCCGTGCCACCATGTGTGTTTGGGAGTGGAGGGCGGGAAGGAGGAGTCATGCTGCAACGAACCAGCGGCGCGTTGACGAACGAGGCGCCATCACCGTGCACATGCTGCAGCCAAGCCACAACACACACAGCTCAGAGAGGGTCTCAGAGAGAACAACAGTCGAAAGACCTGTAAGGCACGTATGTATCTGCCCTGACTGACCTGCTTCAAGCTGATTGTGTCAGCAATGGTTGGGAAGCACCGTGCTAGCACCAGGACGGCAGCCAGGGCGAGAAGCCACAAACCAAGCATCTTGGAGCGCCTGTCAAAGTTGCAGTCGAGTCGTGAGGTGCATGAGAGGGGACGCCTGAGAAGATCAGCAGCACCGCCAGAAATGCCGGCTCGAGAACACCGCGAGGCGAACCGCAATAGGGTTTAGGGTGTAGGGTTCTGCCTGGCCAAAAGTCACACGGCCGGACAAGCTGATCGCAGGTGATTGGCGTCGCTCGTAGGTGCCACCATGATCCACATCGCCCACAATCAAACACGTCAGTCATCAGATAAGGCGAAAAAGGAAATTGCTGCAATCAGTGCGTCAAGGTGTGAGTGACGTGTGTCGACAAATATGCACAAACAAGTGTGTGTGTGAATGTGTGTGTGAATGTGTGTGTCCACCGCGCCCTATCATCTTGATGTCTATCTACTATCTACATGTAACCTCACGGCAACCAACCAACCAATCAACCGGTCAATGAAACAAAGAAACAAAGCCTTGCCGGTGAGGTCAGCCGCTCAGGCGGCTGCTGTGTGAAGGGGTATCTTCCACACAGCGTGCTGGTCGGTGTATGGGGTGGGGGCCACCCACGGCGGCAGCCTGTCCAGCAGCTGGGCCACCGGGGGGGTGATCAAGTTGAAGTGGTGGCTCGTCGCGCTGATGGTCACCTGCACACACACACACACACACACACAGAGAGAGAGAGAGAGTTGATACCACCTGCCTCCTTTCTCACCGTGTCTATGTCCTTGACGTCGACCCAGAAGTCGATCGCCTCGCTGCCATGCCCTCCTGCACACACCACACCAAGAGGAAGGAACCACCAGTCAGTGTGACTGTCTCCTTCTGTCCCTCCCTCCCTCCCTGTCTATCTGTCTGTCTCACTTGCGAATCCGATCCAGTGGCAATGGCAATTTGTGCGTGCCTTGGGCAGCGCCTCGTCGAAGGACCATCCCTGCAGCCCTTCCGCCTGCAGGGCCATCCCGATGCGATTCGACCCCCTCACCGACACCCACACACGTGTCACGTTGCTCGTCACACTGACGCAACAAGAGACACCCCCACACACATGGTGCTCTGACCGTCTGCCCCTGACTGCATCTATTGCGTGTGCCCCGTTATGTGTGTGTCGTCTCCTCACTTGTGCGACTGTGTCCACGTGAGCTGCAACGGCGGCACCTGCTCGCTGTACTCCACTGGCACATCTTTGACCCTCACCAGCCCCCCACTCATGCCATTGGTGCCGAGGTGCCCCGCCGTCGAGTCGCTCGACAGATTGCGGAATGGGTGCGGCGCCGGCAGCAGTGTCAAGTGCTCGTGGGGGAACAGATTGGGAAAGCCGAACGGCCACATAAAGAAGTCCCTCCTGGGGCTCGACGGTATACGTATCAGTGCGCCGTCTCCATCGCCATCGCCGTCTCCGTCTTGACTGGCACCACAAGTGGCGTTTCTGGCGAGTTCTGGGGTCCATGGGGTGTCGGAGGGGAGGGAGGGGAGGGCGAAGGGCGGCACTGATGGTGTCGAGCACGGTGAGGGTGCGAGGAAGGGCAGTGTGGGTGTGAGGCTTCGGAAGGCGTCGTCGTCGTGGCTGCGGAGCCACATGCCGGCATCGCTGTGGTCGACAGTGCCTGACAACAACACAACATGATGGGTGGACGGCTACGTGTGCATTCGCGTTCGTGGGGTGCACCATTGGGGGCGTGGAAGTTGCGTTGGAAGTGGGTCAGGAGCAGCCGCTTGGGCGCCCCCAGCGTGAAGGGCACCTTGACGCGCCACACGGCATACACCACACAGCCTATGTATCCTCACCCACACAACCATCCATCGACACGCAGACCATCGTCAGACAGCGCGGATCTGATTCTTCATCCCTGTCTGTTCTGGTTTCCCTCCCCTACCGACCGATGGCTGTGAGGCCGAGCAGGTCGATGGCTCGCCTCCGTGACCGCTGCGACAGGTACTGGAGGGGCGTCAGCAGCACCAGAGACAGAAGCGCCCCCATCAGACCCACCAGCGACCCAAGAAACACATCCGCCGGCACAGCTGTCACGGACCGACCTACACACACCACACACCCAACACAACACAACACACACACACAGCCGCACACCTCACACCCCCTCCCTTCCTCTCTCTCTCTCTCTCTCTCACCCATGACAGGGATGAAGACCTCCAGCACCCCCACAATGGTGTGGAAGGTCAGCACGAAGGGCACGCAGTTGCCCACCACCGTCGCCATGCCCACCCACCCGCGATCGTCAACCTTCAGCGGGTCCAGCCGCCGACGCCGGAACCTTGGCCGCGACGACCCACCAGAGGACAGCGGGCCCACTCTCGGCGTGAAGGTCGCCCGCTTGGGTGAGCTCCTGGGGATGTCGCTGGACTCGGGGCACGATGACGGCGGGTAGGGGAAGGTCTGGTCGGTCTCTGACGGATGGTCTTCCGGGATGGGGGGTGGCCTTGCCGGCGGTGGCTGCAGCTGTCTCGCTGATGGTCCTGTTGGTGCCGGGGGTGTGGTCGAGGACATCTCCTGCAGCGCATCGATGTCGTCTTCGTCGTCGGGGCTGGGGGGGTCGCACGTGTAGACGATGAGGGCGGTCAGGCGCGTGGCCAGCGGACACAGCACCCAGCTGAGCGCCATGTAGGCCGACCCGACGCCTCGGGCGATCAGCACTGTGGCGGCGGCGAGCCAGAGGGTCTGCCCCGCCATGAAGACGTGCTGTTCTGAGAGCCGGGTGACGCGTCGCTCCCACAGCATGGCTGCCCGCCGCTCGCGAAGGTCGGCTTTGGCTGCTGCGGCCGCCGCGTTGGTGGTGTCCTTGTCGGTGTCGTCTTTGCTGGTGTCTGCCGGGGAGATGGGGGGCTTGGTGGACTCCTGAATCTGCGACTTGGACCGGCGCTCCATGAAGCGACGGAGACTGATGGAGCGATAGATAGGCACACATGAGCGAGAGTGTGTGTGGGGATCTCTCTCTCTCTCTCTGGTTCACTCACTTGTTCTGGTACATGTGTTGGATGGCGAGCATGACGGCCATTGATGTGACGCCGAACATGCCGCCCACCAGCCAGGGCTTGTCGAACCACCGCAGGCTCCGCCCCACCAGCCACATGAGGCCGCCTACCCCAAACCCACACACCAGCACCGACGCCACAATGCCCGTCAGCTGGAACACCACCGCAACCAGGCCCAAGGGCGACAGCGGACCAGTCCCCTCTGCAGCCAGCCAGAATACACCAGCAGCCATGCCATGCAGTCAACGAAGCTTGCTAGAGCGTGTGCGTCAGGGGCGTGTGTACCGATGAATGACATGAGCAGCAGCAGCGTCATGGCGAGGGCGAAGAGCATGAGATGGACATATTTGGGGTACACGACCACCAGCAGGTGAGGCACGGTGAAGAAGACGGCGTCGGTGCGGCGCTGGGGGGACGTGGGGGACGGTTGCCGCAGGATGGGCGTCGGCGAGTAGGCGATCTCGTGAATCAGGGACAATATGGTGTCCTAACAAACAAACAAACCAGGCATGGACAGACTGGATGGCACTCATCAGCTGACCCCATAGTGTTGGAGGGCGGCCGGCCGTATCTTCTCGATGGTGTCCCTGGGCGTGTGGTAGCTGTACCCCCCGCCCACATACGCAAAGTCCAGCCCCACCAGGCCGCCGTCAATGCGATAAATCCTGCCAGGCCAGCGAGGGAGGGAGGCGCATACACACAACCACAAAAGTAGGCGACCGTCGTGATGGTGCCCTTCTCTGGTGAGCCCCCCACCACCACCACCCCCACTGACCGTGCGTCGGTCTCTCCCGGGACGAGACCGTTTTTGAATATGTCCTCAGCGACCACAGACGCATGGGGGTGGAAGGGGTAGGGGTAGGTCGCGCCCTCTGACGCACGAGCGTAAGCCGACACCCACTCATAGCCACCACGACCTGAGTGAGTGAGTGCGGTAGGTATCCAGATGGATGGAGGGAATGAAAGAAATGGGCAGAACGACCGCACACTCTTTCTGTCTTTGTTTCTTTGGTACCCGAGTTGAAGAGGAGGGCCTTGCCGGTGGAGCCCATTGCCTCCAGGTTGAGGAACCCCCCGACCCGCTTCGCCCATGGGTGGGAGGTGATGAACCCATGCGCCGCCTTCAGACCCACCTCCTCACCACCTAGTGGACATATATATGCACACACAGTGCAGTGACAGACACACGGTGGTGGGCATACTCAGATATCTCAGAGGCTCGTGATGCCTCCCTCCCTCCCTCCCTCCCTCCACCCACCCTGCTGACCGTTGAAAAGGAAAATGATGGGTATCCTCAGCGGCGGCGAGTGCAGCACATTCCGAAGCACCTCGATCAGCACGGCAATCCCGCTCCCCGCGTCGGCCGCGCCCTCCGACCCGACCGCCGAGTCGAAATGGCTCGACAGCAGCAGGGCCGGCAGCTCCACATCCCCTCCCACACCCATGCCCTCCATCGAGGGCTCCACCAGCACCACCACGTTGGTCAGGTTGGCGTAGACGGCCTGCATGCCTCCTGAGTAGTCGAGGTGGAACGCGCCTGAGTAGTTGGACCACACCGACACCTCCACGCGCCACTTCTCGCCCGCGTCGCGGTGCAGCAGCCGCGCGTCGCTCTCAATCCGCCGCACCTCGTCCACCAGCAGCCGAGGCGCATCCACCTCGTTGGCCCTGCTGCCAACCGTCCGCACCCCCAGACCCACCAGCTTTGACAAGAACCCACGGGCACGCTCCCCAGAGAACTGTGACGGCGCCGATTTTGACGCCTTGAGCGCCCTGGGCAGGCGCCTGTGGCCGATGAGCACCAGAGTGACCATGAGAGATGTCATGAGCAGCAAGGCCACTGTCGGCGACCATGACGAGACGGATCTGGGGATGAAGGGGGGGAGGCGGATACGTGGCCGGCGGGAGCCTTGCCCTGGGGGAAGCTGCTGCTGCTGGGGAGATGGAGATAGAGATGGCGAATCGCTGACGGAGTCGCCGCTCAGGAGGGCTGCACCTGCACTTGACGAGTCGGTTGCAGGCCGCCGACGGACCATGGCGAACCGGGAAGGAGAGATCACAGATGCGGCGAGATCGCGCTGCGAGCTCGAGCGTGATCGCTGAAGGAGGAGGGCAGAGGGACGAGAAATGCCAGGCAGAGCGATAGGATCGCATGGGTAGTTGTGCAGGAATGTCATTTGGATCATCTGCACTGCAGTGCCGCCATCCATCCATCGACAATTGTCCATCGACCGCAGCTTTTCACTTCAGCGCCACGAGCGAGGTCCGTCCAGTCAGTCAACACACGCGATGCATGCCATCCGATCCGGTCCGCTCTCGCACACACGACGTACATGCAGCCATGCAGCCATTCATCCATCCATCCATTTGCGGCATGTATCATCAAATCAGCCGCCTGTCTTTTCTATCTCTCTATCTGTGTGTGTGTGTGTGGGGTGGGTGTGAATGACTACCAGGCCAGTCCTCTTCCCGCTGTGGGCGCGTGGTGTCTGTCTGTCTGTCTGTCTGTCTGTCTGCTGTTCTCTGGCTCGCTCTCTCTCGAATCTCGGTGATCCATCCATCCATCCAGCCCATCCACACACACACACGCACATCATCATCCAGACATCAATCAATGTATGCAGGTAGGCAGGTAGGCAGGGAGGGAGCCAGGCAGGCAGTAGGGAGTCAGTAGTATCTACGTCGAGTCATCGAATTCGTTCTGACTCTAGCTATGTATGCTGCACAGACAGGCAGGCAGGCAGGCAGACACGCACACACACACACACACACAGACAGAGAGAGAGGGAGAGAAACCATACAATCCAGGCACCACAGACGCAGGTAAGGATTCATCCATATCATCTGTCTGTTGCCAGTCTGTCCGTAGGTGTGTGGGTGTGTGGTTAGAGTGCGGCCATCGATGCAGCCATCTCTCAGTGTCTGAACTAGGTAAGAACTCTCTCTCTCTCTGTCTCTGTCGGATGGCGACAATGTGTTGACAGGGCGTGTTGTGCTCGCCGCGCCACCGACTTTCCTAGCTTGACATGGGGCAGACAGACAGGATACTGGGATACTGGGTACTAGGATCATGAACCATCCATCCATGGCATTCATTCATGGCATGAATGAATCGGGGAGGAAAGACAGAGACAGAGGGAGAAAGACGTCAAGCCGGCCATCCGCATTCAGAAAGTGAGAAGGAAAGAAAGGAAATGTGCGCAATCGACGTGGAAGGTGGAAGGGGCAGGGGAAGGAAGAGCGCGCTCAAAAGCAGCCGCTTCATCCATCCATCCATCCACTCATCCACGATCTCTCCTTGTCCCCTTCAGGGTTCCTCCTCTCTCAACCAGACAGACTACGCCGCCACCAAGAGATCCATCCATCCATCCATCAAATCAAATCAAATCAAATCAAAACCGGTCAATAGTGCGACAAACTAACAACAAGAATGCAAGAATGCACTACGGTAGGCACACGCAGAAGCATATGCAGAGATTGGTTTGCCTGTCTGTCTGTCTGCCTGCCATCCCTCCGCCCCGCCAACTCACCCACCCCTCCCCTCCCCCGCTGCAATAGGTCGGTCTCTCTCTACGTCTCTCTATCTAATGCTATCTATGGGTGTATGTGTGTGTTGGTAGGTTAGTTGGTGCCCTGCTCAGCGCCCCCCTTGCCCTCCCCCTCCCCCTTCGGCGCCTCCGCGGCCGGCAGCACCTGCTGCGGCACCGCCACCGCCCCGCCGTAAGGCGGCATCGGCATCGGGGGGGCAGCGGCCATCGGCGGGAACGCACCCGGGGGCGGGGCGAAGCCCATGCCCATGGGTGGCGGGGGCGGCGCGTAGAAGCCCCCCTGCATGCCCACGCCCATGGGCATCGGCATGCCGGGGAACGTGGCGAATGGTGCGGGCTGCTGGGGCTGGCCGTTGGCGGTGGCCTGGGCGAGTTTGGCCTGCTCGATGGGGATGGGCGGCATCTGCTGTATCTGCTGCATCTGCTGCATCTGCATGTAGGTGCCGTAGTCGAGCTGCTGGGGAATCATGGCCGCCTGCTGCTGGTACTGCTGGCCGTCGCCCCCGCCGACCTGGGCCTGGGCCTGCTCGTCGCGCTTCTGGGCGTCCTCGATCATTTCGATGATGCGGGGGTGCCTCTTGATGGTCTGAAACAACGCCTGTGTCGCATCACACACCATAACCATAGGCACAGAGAGTGATGTGATGAGACGGATGGGTGGGCTGTGGGTGGGGCAGGGGGCTGTGCGGAGGGATGGTGAAGGGTGGTTGGTTCGTTACCTACCTTGAGCAGTTTGTAGTTGTCGTGTGTGGAGTTGAGGGGGTCACCGTGGTGTCCGCAGAGGGCGAGGTCGTCGTAGATCATCGCCCACAGGAAGAACTCACCCATCGCAGGCTCCTTCCCACTGAGAACACACCACATGACACCCACAAAGATAGATAGATGCACCATACAAGTTGTGTTGTGTGGTGCGCATTTCATTTCTCGCCTGAGTACTGACTGACTGACCTGATGATGGGCATGGGCACCATGCCGTCGGGGTAGGACGCAAAACACTTGCCGAACGACTTCTCCATCGTGTCGTACCAGTTCTCACGCTCACCCTGACACACAGACAGACAGATGCGATACACACACACACACATGGACGTCACACAGACACACACATTCAGCGTGTGATTGCGTATCGGGGTGGGAGAGGGGCAAGGGTTCGGGGAGGGAGGTGTGCCTGCTACCAGGTATTGCTGGTAGGAAGCGTCGTTTTCGTCGCGGCACGAGAAGGCCCGGGACCACGAGTCGCGCCACTCCGCAACCTTCTCAGCCTGACGGACGGACGGACGCACCCCACATCAATCAACACACACAGCCGCAGATGTCAATGCACCCGCTCAAAGGCGTGTGGTTGTGTGTGGGGGGGAAGGGGTGGTGCTGTGGTGGATTTCGCACTATCATGTCGCCGTAGGAGTCGAGGTTGGCGTCCATGCTGACACAGACACCACAGACAGGTAACAGGGGGGGGGGGGGGG